GCAGAGCTGCAGCTGTCACACGGGGAGGATGTGAACAAGCAGGAGATGCACTCAAGTGGTGGGAGGGGGACGTTGGTGCTGGGAGACATTTATAGTGATGCTGTCAGACCTCGTTAGACAGTCTCCTACACCTCCAAATCCTTGATAACTTTCAAGATTTTGAATTTAGGGTTGTTATCTAAGTGAAGCCCAAAAGAGAACTGAAGGGAAGGATGAAAATAGTCAACATAAGACATTGAAAAAGGAGTAAACTTTTCAGGTCTGGGGTTAGAGGTGATGAAGGAGCTGTGAGCAGGGTTCCTCTGTCACCCAGTGTCCCTTCTGCAGCACCTCTCATCTTGTGCACAGGCCCAGGGACCTCTTCATCCCAGTCCTGAGACTGCTCCTCACAGAACCACTTCACATTTCTCAGCTTCACATTTCTGAGCAGCTCTGAACACCCATATCTGAGTTTCCTCCCCCAGTGGCCCCCAGGATGCTGAAAGATCTGAAGCAAAGATAGAGTCAGGAAAAAGGAGCAGAACCCCAAATCCTCTGAGATCCAAGCAGAGATTTGTCTAGAGATTTCCAATTAGATCAGGACATGCTCTGGCTGCTTTGCCTTGCTGTGTCCATAATGCAGATGAGCTTCATGTCAGCTTGGCCTCCTTTCCTCCAACCACGTTGGCTCCTCTTTCATTTCATTAGCAGTGGCCTGCCTTCATTAGTGAATTAATTCCCCAGGAATGGCACTGCAATAAACCCTACCAGAGGAAGGACCAGCAAAGCTGCATCTTGGGGCTGGCTGGACAACTGGAAGGGTTTTCTGGACAAAAAGGATGTTCATAGAAATACTAAGAAACACACAAATTTTACTCAGATCAGACCAGGAATCTTGGAAGCTTCATCCACCAGAAGAAGAGATGTTTTGTGTTAGGTTTGCATTGACCTGTGGGTTGGAGATGTAGGGAGTGAGCCCTCCTCTCTCCCTTTTGGGGGACAGACCCCAGGACAGAAGTCAAATCAAGGGAAAGTGAAGGAATATGCCAGTCTCTGTTTGTTTTCAGACCTGTCCTGATACATCAGGTGGCCATGGGAGCTTTGACCACCCAGTGCCAGACACGTGAGGAGCAGGCCCTGTGCTGAGCTGGGCTCCCTTGTCTGCTGTGGAGGTCTGGCCACGTGAAGATGTGGCAGAAGAAGTGGAATTTGGGAATGATAAGCAAAGGGAAAGGAGAAAGGATAGTCTGTCAGGGTGAGGGCCTGGGGGACATTTAATGATCTGGAGAAAAGGGACCTCAGCATCTCCTCCAGTGACTCAAGAAACTTCGACTGCAACACATTCTAGATCATCCCACCGTGAGGCAGCATCTCTCCCTGGGGATGTTCCACGTCCCCCTCTTAGCTCTGCTCAGCCCTTGGGGACACTTTGTCTGCCTCTGCCTCCAGCCCTCACTCCTTCCACGTCCCCAGGGACACGAGCAGCACTCTATCAATAACTGATATTTTGCCTCTGCAATATTTTCCAAACCCTCAAAGACATTTTTGCTCCACACCAAACCACAGTTCCCACCCAGCCCATCTCCCTGAGGGACCAGTGAGGCTGGGCAGCTGCTGTGCTCCTTCCAGGCTCCTCTCTCCCAGCCTTGGCAGCACATCTAGGAGGACTTGGGGTGATGTTCATCTCTGTGGGGAAGGGGTGGGGCAAAAACCACCAGCGAGGGAGGGCAGGAGGAGGAAAATTCAGCAATTATGGTCAGGCTTAAAACCCCACAGACAAGGGAAACAAACCCCAAACTGTCTGATGATGGTGGTGACTATTATCTGGGATGTTTTAGTCGCAGCTGTTAATAAAAATAACAGCAGTAATAAAATTGCAATGATGCTCTTGTTCCAATGCTGATGATAATAATAAGATTATTTATTAATTGTGAGCCATTATCAGCATTTTCTACTGCTTCTGCCTCCCAGACCCACTCCAAACTCCAGCCCTACCATATTAATGCAAAATGAGGTAAATGAGAATGGCTTTTTCTTTTATGGCATAACCAAGGAAGCAAACACAACAAAAATCTGCCCCTGGCCCCTCTGCTGATTGCCCCCACCAAACACCCCACGCCATGGGGCTGAACGTTAGGGGGGATCTTGTCTTTCCTTTCTTTAAGCAAGGTTGGCAGCCTCCAGAGCAGCTGAGGCCCATGAGAGCTGTTGGTCAGCCCCTGTGGGGTGGACAGAGGAGTTGGGTTAATTTTTCAGTGGCTTCTGCCCATTCTTTCTGTGGGGCTGGTGTGGATGGTGGGCACCCCTCAGCCCCTGGGGAGCACGTGTCTCTGCTGGGTGCAGTGCCCTCTGCCCTTGGCCTGTTGCTTGAAGAAGCAAAAGGAGCAAAACCCCCAGCTCCAAATGCTGCTGGTGTCTGTGGATTTTGGGGGGTTCCTGTGACTGTGGTGGAGGAGGATGCACGGCCAGACTTTGCCACCCTTAGACCTGGTGGTGCAAAGTGAAGGGAGGGGCAGGAAGAGCCAAGTCCTCAGGCTGGAGCTGGGGGGGGTGTCAGGCCAGGCATGGGGCAGGGGGATGACAGAGACCTGCTGGAGTCTCAGCCCCAAGGAGGGAGGGCTGGGGACCACGACGGGGAGGAGGGAGGGATGCCCAGCGAGGGGGGGCATCTGTGTGAGGCAAAGAGGGATGGATGTGCAGCAGAGAGGAGGGATGGATGTGCCTCCACGAGGGATAGGTGTGTGCTGAGAGGGGCTGGATGTGCCACGAGCAGGTCAGAGGGATGTGCAGTGAGGTGGTGAAGTGGGGAGTGAGCAGCTGGCAGCACGGGGGGTGGCTGCTCTGCTACACACTCTGAACCCTGGGAGCTTGCATCAAGCCAGGGACGTGAGGTCCTCACGACCTCCACAGCTGGCCTGATAGCCATCTGCAACAACACACGATGTTCTGGAGCTGCTG